GGACTGTTTATTTAAAGACCAAAGACAAGCCAGCTGATCGTGTGATTCTAGGGCACCAGTTGCCACCAACGTGGCCCGAAAGGTTATTCATCTTGAGTGTCGTGTAGAAACAGACACTTTTGGTATAGGAAGGATGCACCTCCGGTGCTTGGGCTTGTGGTAGGGGAGCGGGTGTGAGCAGTCATCTGGACATTTAGCAGTTTGTAGCGTGGTCAGGCTCCAAGGCCAGTGTGTGGATGCAGGGTTCTGCCTTCCTCACCCCAAAATGACTCACCCTTGCCTTCTCTGTCTAATCAGCTGGTCCATAGCAGCGAGGTAATACATAGACACGGTGTCTCACAGCTGCTTTGCTTGGCGTCCAGAGCCCAGGGGACCCAGGCTGATTTTGGGTGCAAACTGCAAGGACCTGCCGAGATCAGGGTGGTGACCGAGGCAGGAAGCTTTTCTAAAGACAGTCAGTGGCCTTGGACTCGGTTTATTTATAGGAGCCCAGAGCCCGAACAGACTGTTTTTGTGGATGCTAATGTCCTTTACTTTGCGAGCAGATGTTTGGGTTTTATTCTCGATTTTTTGTCTAGCATCCTGGGTTTATGATACGTTGTCACTGTGGTGATCAAGGTACCCTCAGTTTTGTGGGTGACTAACAAGCAATAAGAGAAGTCCAAGTTGCAAGTTGATGCTGGACTTTTTTTTCCTAGCCTTTGTCTCCGCCTGTCTCTCCAGTCCCAATTTGAAAACACTGTCCTTGCTGTAATCTAAAACTGAAAACAGAACAACAAAACCGGCTTCCTTAAAGGTGTGTCAGCTTCGTAGACAGCGTGAATTGATGAGGTCACATACATGGATATGAGAGGTTACTGATCTGCAATCGAGGGGCCTGAGATGGTCGGTGGTTTAGAATTTTCTAAGATACTTGGGCAACTCTGTTTTGGGATTTTAAAAAAGAGTGCTGAATTAAGGTAATAGGAAGTTATTTTTAAATAAACATACTATTTTCTCTTTTTTTCTAGGAACTACACGTTGAGATTTATGCCAATTCCTATGTATGATGCTTCTCAAGCCTTAAAAACAAACCCTGAGAAAACAGAAGAGGCTCTGCAGAAGGTATTGAAGAATCAGTAGCTTAATTGTAATAAATTCATATTTGAATTATGTTAATAATAGTTCTGAACATATGAACAGGGCTTTGTATTTTACAAAGGTTTTTTCACATCAGCTTGTGTTCTTACGATCATGACGGGCATAATGCATGACTCGGGGTGGAATAAAATAAGAAAGACTGAAACCTGTCATGAAACTGAAGTGGAGTAAAATAACACTCTAACAGCATCAACACACCAGAGCCTAAGCGTAAATAACTTCGTCGGTCCTTTGGAGATTGTGTGGAACTGAATGTAATCAGCACGACGTTCATCCCCTTCATTCTCCAGAGCTAGAACCTTCCTTTCTTTCTTCATCAAGAAGTTTAGGGTATTAGTGAGATCTCGCTTTATCATCTTTGTCTATAAATGTGTCTAAATCCATACTCGTTCTCACTTCCTTTCTGGCAACCCCAGAGGATGATGGGTAGCTTCTCCTTCGAAGTCCAGCCAGCCATCCACAGTGCCTTTGACAACCCCTCTGCCTCCATCCCCCCGTCTCTGCCCTGTGCTGGAATTCCCTCTGTGCATCATTCCCTCACTTTCCCGTATCTTCGTCCTTCTCTCCTTCTCTGTGGTTATGATGACCTTTCTTCCCATTGTTAGATATGCTCAAATATTTCCCATCTGAAGGAGTCTACTCCGCCTTTGTTATGGCGTTATTTAGAGAATCTTTGAAATCCTTCTTCCCTCTTTGTTCTTTCATCTGGTGGTACCACTCTTTGTCCAGTCTCCTAAGCTTGTTTTTTTTTTTCTCTCCCTCCTCCATATCTTCCGTAGTCAGTCAGTCACCAAGTTTACTGATTGTAGAGCATAAATCTCTTCATTAGCTCTTCTTCCCTCTATTCCTGTTACAGATGCCTTTATTCAAACCTCATCATCCCTCACCAGGATCCTCTTGTCTGTTTTCCATGTTGCAGTCAGAGATAGCCATCTTACATCATGGTAAATTTGATCAGACTGAAACCTTCAATCCATTCCTCTCCAGTGGCTTTTAGGATAAAGCCAAATCTCCTTAACTTGGCATGAAATTCTGTCCAGGAATTTCTATTTGTCTGCCTCCCATTCATTGCCAACTTCATCACTTACCAACCCTTATTCTTTGTTTCGCTCTAACTCTGGGAACTTGTTCAAAATACAGAATTGGTGGGACTCAGCAGTCTGTTTTTCCGAGCTCTCCTGGTGATGGGAGAGTTTGAGCAGCACTGCTCTAAGCCAGGTGATACTCCCCACCACGGTGCTTGTCCGTTGAGACTGAATCAAGGGTCAGCGGATCCAGGAAGACTTCTCAGAGTCCCTTTCCCCTACTAGGGAGGTGTTCTTATCAGAATTTCCTGTGGCGCTGTCACTGGTCTTGTGACATTGTTTTCAGTCACCTGCCTCCATCATTCTTTCTTCCAGTGACTGTGAGCTCTTTGGAGGCAGAGCTTATATTTTTCATCTTGTTTTTCTTTTTTTTTTCTCAGAAGCTAGTGCAGTGCCTGCAGTGCGTGCTTGGATGTTCTTTAGACATTCAGTGAATACAAGGAGTGAGATGGGGAGGGAAATTTGTGGTGTAGCAGAAGAAACCATCTCAGATTTGGATTCAGAAGACCTGACTAAATTAAACTCTTACCAGCTTTGTAAGTTCAGTAGGTTACTTAATTCTTCTGAGCTTTAGTTTCTTCATCTGCATAAAAGTACAGCTACATAGTAACAGTGTTTAGCTGACAGTTAGCATATAGTTCTTACCTGGAGCCTGACACTATTTTAAATGACTTACATAAATTAACAACAGTAATCTTTAAAGTAAGCCCATGAGATAGGTTCTATTATATCTTCATTTTACGCATAAGAAAACTGAAGAACAGAGTGGCTAAGTTGCCTAAAGTAGCCATGAGGATCAAATGAGGTAGTATATGTGAAATGCAGTTTGTAGACCATAAAGCAATATACAAATGTTAGTTACCTTTATACTTTCCTCAAGGTTATTAGTCAGCTTATAGCAAAAGACATATTCTACAGAAACCGGGTTTCTGGGTTCAGATTAGACATGTAAATAGTTGGGAAGTCCTCATTCCAATCCTCACAACAAGAAACATTGCTCGAGGGGAGGGTATAGCTCAGTGGTAGAGTGCATGATTAGCATGTATGAGGTCCTGGGTTCAATTTCCAGTACCTCCATTAAAAAAAACAATAATAAATAAACCTAATCCCCCTCCCAAAAAAACTTTAAATTTTTTTAAAAATTAAAAAAAAGAAAAATTGCTTAACAAACAGAAAATCAGTGACTTTTCTTATATCTGCCAGAGAATTGAGGTTACAAGGCAGACTGTCACCCTGGAAACTTGAGAGATGGTAATACAGAGAATCACAGTGAATCAAAACTGAGATGAGCTTATCAGGAACAGAAGATAGTGGAGCCAGTGACTCAAGAATGCTTTGAAAGTGCTTAAAATTGATGAATTGCTGGAGGCTTAGTGTGGACTAGTTAAAGAGTTAAAAACTCCTAGGAGCTAAGTTTTAGGGAGGCCCTGACCCTTTCATGGGTTTTAGTTGCAAGAGCCTCAACAAATTATCACAGTAAAGATTGGGGGATAATTCACTCATATTTCTGACAGAGGGAAGGGAAAAAGTAACCATTTTTTTATAACAGAGACTTACTATCCAGGGGAATATTCTAGAGCCTTCTCTGACCTAGTGGAAGACAGGCCACTGCAGCCCCCTCCAGCCTTCCTGTTTCATATAAGGGAGGGGAGAGAGGAAAAAAAAAAAAGGCCAAGAAACACTTCTGACCCTATTGTATTTACATCACACACCAAGTGTAATGATAGTGATTTACAACTGAGCAAAGCTGTAAGATACTCTCTTTTAGAAGGAGCTTCTAGAGAACCCAAGAACAGCAGGGGAGACAAAAACAAGGTCAATAGAAGAAAGTAAAGCATCTGGCACATACAGTTATAGCAGACATTCAACACAACCCAGCCTCTAGCCGGATTAGCGTAAAAACCTCGCCTATAAAGACTGATTACCTCAGTTCCTATTACTAGATACATCATATCTGGCTTTCAACAAAAAATTGCAAGGGGTGCTAAAAGACAAGAAAAAACGCAGTGTGAAGAGACAAAGCAAGTATCAGAACTAGACTCAGCTATGATGCAGATTTTGGAATTATCAGAATAACTGTGTTCAATATATTAAGGGTTCTTATGGAGAAAGTAAAACACATGTAAGCACAGATAGGTAATAAAAGCAGAGAGATAGAAACTCCTAGGAAAAAAATCGAAAGGAAGTGCTAGAGATCAGAAATGCTGTAAGAGATGAAAAAAATGCCTTTTCTGAGCTCATCAGTGGACTGGACACAGCGGAGGAAAGAATCATTGAGCTTCGAACTATGTCAGTAGAAACTTGCCAAACTGAAATGCAAAGAGGAAAAACAGAACAGAGTATCCCGGAATTGTGGGACGGTTACAAAAGATTGAATGTTCATTTAATGGGGATACCAGAAGGAAAAGAAAGAGAAAGTAACAGAAGAAATATCTAAAGTCATAATGACTGAGAATTTTTCCAAAATTAATGACAGATCAGGGATCTCAGAAAACACCAAGCAGAATAAATTTTTTTAAAAATTACATAAAAGTATATCATATTCAAATTGCAGAAAACCAAAGACAAAGAGAAAATGTTGAAAGAAGCCAGAGGAAAAATACACTTTACCTATTGGGAAATAAGAATAAGAATCATGTCAGACTTTGAGTCAGAAATCATGCAAGCAAGAAGAAAGTGGAGTGAACTATTTAAAGTGTTGAAGGAAAAAACCCAACAGCCTAGAATTCTGTATTTAGAAAAGTTTTCCTTCAAAAATAAGGAATAAAGAATTTCTAAGATAGCAGTGGTACAAGGGATGAAAGGGAGAAATTGGCAATACTCTCTAATCTGCTACCTGCGTTACTTGTGAAATGGTGTCTAATTGACTCTTGCACAGCATGAGGGTTAATCCCAGTATAACGCAGAGTTGGCCTCCTTCTCTGCATCTATGGATTCATCCAATCATGGATCGTGTAGTACTGTAGCATTTACTATTGAAAAATACCCGTTTATAAGTGGTCCTGTGTAGTTCAAATCCGTGTTGTTCAAGGGGCAGTTGTAATGTTATTTGAAAGAGGAGTTGGATTAATTGTAAATGTATATTGCAAACAGTAGGTCAACCACTAAAATATTTAGAAGGAAGTATAATTAATATTCTAAGAAAGGAGACAAAAGTACAATCATATATAGTACTTAAAAACCAGAGAAGGCGAGAAAAGAGGGGAGGATCAAAGAAGAAACAAAGCACATATGCAGAGTCTGTAAATGTTAATTACAAAATTTGTGGGTATTTAAAAATGAAAATTGGTGACTTTAAAGCTCATATTTATTGGAGTTTTTTTTTTCCTATAATACTTACTATGCTCTTAGATATTCAAGTTTTCATTTTAACAACTCTGGAAGAAATGTGGCTCTTTAATTTTACTCTACTAAAGAACAATACTGTGACTCTATACTCAATCTTTATGGGTTTTTTTTTTTTAAATATAAGATTCCTTTATTACAATACCGAGGGAGTTTATTTGTTTTTGTTTATTTTTTGCCTCTTGTGCTGTGGCTGTTTTCAGCAGTGAGACTGAAGATGTCTGACTGTCTCCAGATCACTGCTGCCCAGTGTGGCAAGTGTGATAATGACCTGCCTGAGTCAGGCCCCCATCCCTAGCCTCTAGGATATGGGCTCTCTGTCTTGGTTTTTAATGGTGCATGGAAAAAAGTTTACCCTGTTAATTAAAGATGCAAATAGTTTGTGGTGATGTCTACATGGCTGTTGTTAAAGACACTTAAGCATTGTTTTTCTTCCTTTCCGTTCCACTAGCTTTTAGAAATGAACTTTGAATTTTTTTTTTTTCCTAAAATACTCCCTTCAGGCTCAGTTGGTGAGACACCATTGGTGTATCTGGGGAGGATCTGGAAATGTGTGGGCCAGCCTTGAGTGCAGTGCCTGTGTGTGAGCTGAGCCTTCTGATTAAACAGGCTTCATTCAGAGCTGGCCCACAGCCAGTGCTTAATGAGGCCAAATATAAAAGAACAAATAACAAAACAATAGCACCCAGAGCTGGGTGGCAATGTGTGCCTGTCATATTTTAGGCAGAAATCTTTTTTTAGCAAAAACATTTTATCTTGATGGTAATGTCACCTTGGAAAGAGATGACTTCTTGGGAAGCAGCAAGAGAAAATTAATGTAATATAATGTCTTGGTATTAATGTGTCACTTTAATGAT